TTCCTTCCTTCCTTCCTTCCTTCCTTCCTTCCTTCCTTCCTTCCTTCTTTCCTTCCTTCCTCTTTTCTTTTTTCGACAGAGTTTTGTTCTTGTTGCCCAGGCTGGAGTGCAATGGCATGATCTCAGCTCACTGCAATCTCCACCTCCCAGGTTCAAGCTATTCTCCTGCCTCAGCCTCCCAAGTAGCTGGGATTACAGTCACCCACCACCATGCCCAGCTGATTTTTGTATTTTTAGTAGAGACAGGGTTGCACCATGTTGACCAGGCTGATCTCGAACTCCTGACCTCAGGTAATCCACCTGCCTTGGCCTCCCAAAGTGCTGGGATTACAGGCATGAGCCACTGCGTCCCGCCTGTCTGTGGTATATTATAATCTATACACTTTTATTTATATTATTATTATTGGTTGTTTTTTTTTTTTTTTTTGAGATGGAGTTTACTTTTTTTGCCCAGGCTGGAGTGCAGTGGTGTGATCTCGGCTCATCGCAACCTACGCCTCCTGGGTTCAAGCAATTCTCCTGCTTCAGCCTCCTGAGTAGATGGGATTACAGGCATGAGCCACCACGGCTGGCTAATTTTGCATTTTTGGTAGAAATAGGGTTTTTCCATGTTGATCAGGCTCGAACTGCCAACCTCAGGTGATCTGCCCACCTCAGCCTACGAAAGTGCTGGGATTACAGGTGTGAGCCACTGCACCTGGCCTGATTTCTATTATTTTGCATAATTTTCACAATAAATCTGTAAAACAAGGTTTCCATTTACAGATCAGGCAACTAATAGCCTTGAAATGATTTTCTCAGCGGTAGGTGGTAGTGGTAGGTTAGAACTGGGAAAGCAAGCTTACAGTTTGATGTTTACCCACTAGGACTACCTCCTTCAAAGCTGATCACAAATCATGATAGTGAAAGAAGCTTTGAAACTACGGATCTATAACCCCCTTTTATAGGACTGGAAGGGACCTTAATTAAGACCCTTCTATTTACAGAGGAGGAAACTGAAACCCAGAGATACCAAGATTTGGAGCAGGTCACACCTTGGTGATTGTGGAAGGACTAAGAGAACAAACCTGGGTCTGACTCCCCGCCCTTTCTCCATCCCACCTCCTGCTGCCCCAGCCAGGAGGCTAGATCTCAGAATGCAGTCAGAAAAATCCCTTACTGAGAAATATTAAGACTAGAATGCTAAGAAGAAATATTAACAGTTCCACAGAAAATGACAAAAGTATGCATATATAATTTATGAAAAAAGAGAACAAAGTGTTTTTGGAAAGTTTGACTTAACCATTGCCAGGTAAGAACTACAAATTAAAGGAAAAACCGTTTGAACTCAGTTCACAATCACTTTTTTTTAGCTAATACTCATTGTTTTGAGGTGTGGGCTTTGCTGAATGACTGAAAGACACTCTTGAGGCTTGTGGAAGTAAAACTACTACACTCTTTCCAGAAAGCAATTGAGTATTGTGTATTTAAAACCTTAAAAATATTTAAGGCTTTGATCTAACAATCTGAATTCTAGGGAAGTTTTCAAAGATAATCAGGTATGTGGCCAAAGAATATTACATGCAACATTATTTATAATATTGAAAAATTGATCATCTTGTTATATCTCAAGTAGAATATGGTTTAATAAATCAGTGTAAATTTATGTGATGTGATGTTATGCAACTGTTAAAATCATAGCTTGGAATATTATTTGATAACCTGGGAAAAGGCTTGTGATATGTTAGGTGAAAAGGAGATTTCAAAACTAAAGAATCTGATTTTAAAATTATTAGTAGTAGTGCACTGAGAAACAGGTTGGAAAGGAATCAGTTAGAGGCTATCACTTCTGGATACTCAGTCTTGGAACATATCCTGCTCTTAATAAGGTGTACACTTTTATTTGTTGCTTGAATAAGCAAATGAATAAATTGTGGGATTATGGATAATTTAAATTTTCTTTTCCATAGGTTTTGGAATTTCCCAAATTTTATGAGAATATTTTTATTATCACAGAAATTAACCGGGCAAGGTGCAGTGGCTCACGCCTGTAATCCTAGCACTTTGGGAGGCTGAGGTGGGTGGATTGCCTGAACTCAGGAGTTCAAGACCAGCCTGGGCAACAGAGTCAAACCCCGTCTCCACTAAAATACAAAAAAAAATTAGCAAGGCGTGGTAGCATGTGCCTGTAGTCCCAGCTACTCGGGAGGCTGAGGCAGGAGAATTTCTTGAACCTGGGAGGCAGAGGTTGCAGTGAGCCGAGATCGCATCACTGCACACCAGCCTGGGCGACAGATCAAGACTCTGTCTAAAAAAAAAAAAAAAAAAAAAAAAAAAAAAAAAAAAAAAAAAAAGGCCAGGTGCGGTGGCTAATGCCTGAAATCCCAGAACTTTGGGGGGCAGGTGGATCACCTGGGGTTGGGCGTTCAAGACCAGCCTGACCAACATGGACATGGAGAAACCCTGTCTCTATTTAAAAAATACAAAGATAGACAGGCATGATGGTGCATGCCTGTAATCCCAGCTACTCAGGAGGTTGAGGCAGGAGAATCGCTTGAACCCAGGAGGTGGAGGTTGCAGTGAGCTGAGATCACACCCTTGCACTCCAGCCTGGGCAACAAGAGTGAAACTCCGTCTCAAACAAACAAACAAACAAACAAAATTATGAAAACTTATAGCATGTTGACACTAACTGAACAAGATAGAAAAAAAACTAGTATTTTTGTTCAATATCCTTCATTTATACCACTCTCCAAAAGTTTGGAATACTGAAACTCAACTTTGGCTCATTTCCTTTTCGTGGAAGGGCTGGATGGATTCTTTAAAGCTGCCAAGTCTTTTGTCATCTCTGGACTTCAGTTCCCTCCTTTGTAAATAGAAGGAATTTAATTAAGGTTTCTTCTGGCCTTAAAAAAGGTAGTTATAAATTCATTCCTACTCAGTGATCCTGGTTCATAGAATTCTTCCTTTATCAAAAGCCTCTGCTAAAGAGCACCCTCAAAGTTAAAATCATTGTAAAAAAAACTCTCCCCAGTTTTGCAGAAACATTGTTGTTTTGCTGCATGACTTTCAGACAAGCACTAGACTTAAGTCATTTCCATATGAACAGATGTACGGAGGGCAGGATGTACTTAGGGTTGTGTCTGTGCTACTGTGTCTCTGCATAACCCAACAGGCTTACATGAGAATAGGACTTTTCATCTCATTTCTATTGGTTTCATACATTAAGCAAGTCAATTCACATGTGCTACAGGTCACAGTGGGAACTCTCCGTGTAAGGCTATAGATGGCTCAGCTCAACCCATTTCTTATTTCTGAAAACAATTTGAAGCATGCAGCCTACGACTGGAGGGCAATTGAGTTATATTCATAGAAAGGCAGCTTGATCTCTTTCCATGATATCCTGTCTTCAGATAGTAAAAAATAAGTTGCTATGTGTTATCATCGGGTATAGGCAACTAGATGCAGAAATTTTGAAGAGATCTCTTTACTGAGACCCATATCTGTCCCCTGACATCGCCCGTCCAAAGTGCACCACCTCCAGTGAATCTCCCTGTCATGCCTGGCCAGTGGCATTCCTCCAGCCCTCCCATGGCCAAGCATAGAGGTGTTGTGCTGGCAGCCTGTGGCCTGACATCTCTACCAGTCCTCCTGTCCCTCGGATGACAGGGAATGTGTCCTCTGCTGGCTGTGTTCTCTATGGAGCTCAGGGGAGGGAAAAGGCCAAGCCATTTCTAAGGTGCTGTTGGGAGCAGTGTAAAGGCCATACCCTTTTCAAGGGACACTTTTCCTGGAAAGCCCCTGGAGCTTAGCTGGCTGTTATCCTGTGAAGCTGGCTCTGGCCACTAGGGGGCAGGGCCATGAACTCGGCCTGGAGGAGCCTGAGGGGCAGCAGGCACTCTGCAGAAACAGACAGAACAGGCCACCAGGTGCCCTGGAGGGACAGACAGAACAGGCCACCAGGTGCAGACAGGCGAGGGAGGCAGGGGGACAGAACGGAAGAAGCCTGGGGTGGATGGAAGTCAGTACCCTTGGGTGCTGGTATCTGTCTTGCCAGCCACCGCCAGATGAGGCTTCCGAGCCTGTTGGCTGTCCGGGCTGGACTGTGCCCCATAGGCGCCATGGCAGTCCCCGTGAAATCCACCAGGTGTCACCAGGCAGCATACAGGTAACAGGCCTGGAAGGTCCCCAACAGCCCAGCTGGACATGCCCAGACACTCTGGGCTCCTCGTTCAGTGGCACAAACTCCAGGACCCAGTGAGGGAAATGGGAACACACCAGGCCGAGCAGTATGGCTAAATCCATGTATTCCAAAATGAAAAGCAAAATAAACAGGAGTTGCATCACCAGGGAGCCACAACCTCATCCCTGCCTCCTTCCTCTGTCCTATGCTATCAATAAGTCTCCCAACCACAAACAATGATTAGAACCTCCTCCCCATATGCCAGCTCCAACCTCCACTAGGTACGATACAGGGGGTAGCCCTACCCCCGGAATATACAAAATGTTACACAGATACTATATGTACACTGGGGAAGGGGGGCCACCCCAGCAGCCTGTGCCCTCGCCTGCTCTACACTTAGCCCCACTGTCCCGCCTCAGCTGCCTCTCTCAACAAGATGGGAGCCCCCTGAGGGAAAAGTCGCTTTGGTGAGAGTAGGGAGGCCATCAGGCCTCCTCCAAACAAACCAACTCCACCAGCCTCTGGATCTTCAATAACAATCATCATCATCCGGAGATTTAAGGACTCAGCCCTGGTCAAGGGTCTGTTTGTTTCCCCCCATTAGACAGGGGTTTTGTCTTGCTACCCTAATGGTAAAGGGGTGACAGGGACAGGGTGGTAGGGACATGGTGGGGGCAGAGACTCCAGCCCCACTTCTCCAGGCTTATGCTGACAGGGGCCTGCTTTTATTTATTTTTATCAAACATAATAACGGAACACAAGTGATTTTTATCTGAATTTTGTAATGAATATATATGCTGCAATAACATTTTAAAAAGCATGGCAGCCTATTCCAAACCACTAAGAATAGTTTTGTGCAAATAGTGGGTCTTTGTGTGTTTGAACTCCCACCACCTGAGGGCAAACTCGATATTCACGCTGAAGACCTACAATTATCAAAGTAAAAACAAAAATGCTAAAGGAGGCCACAGTGAGCATTAAAGAAAGATCCTTCTCCCTTAACTTTTTACAAATAAATTTAAACTGTAAATTAGAAACACAAATAAACATGAGGGGCTGTAACATTCAAATGAAGTAAATGAATTGTGCAGGGGATTAACCCCATCACTTTTTGTTGTTGTTTTTTTTTCAATTTCTTGACCAGCTCTCAGATGATGATGATGTTGATCTCCCTGTTCTCCGCTGCCCGGTAAAAGAATGGGATGCAGGGTTTGCTGGCCAAGCCTGGGTGCTCCTGGGTGTCCTGCATTACGGGAAGCAGCTGCACGATCTTCTCTGCGGTGGGGTTGCCACGGGGAGAACCCTCCCTGGCCTCTCCCACTGCAGGCTCCACGCTGTCGGCCAGGCTCACCTCACAAAGATCTTCGGAGAGAGGGAGGCGGGGGTCTGAGCACAGTGCGAGCCTCCCCTGCCCCTGCCTGCCCACCCCGCCTGAGGGCTCTACTCACCACCCTGTTCCTCCGCAGCCCCAAGCTCCTGGGGGGCTGGGGCCCCCGGAGCGGGCTCATCGCCACGGTTCTGGGCAGTGGGGGGGAGTTTGTCATGCCCCTCGTGGTCGCCCACAAGTGGCAACACCAGCTCCTGCAGCTCCAGCAGCTTCACCTGCAGGGAGGGGTGCTCAGCTGCCACGCCTGAGCTGGCTTCACCTCCCACGCCCACCCCCACCCCCGCAGAGACGTTGCACGCCCTCTACCTTCATCTCCTCATTCTGAGCCAGACTGATGACGCCCTCCTTCTCCTGGTGCCGACTGTTTGACACTGCCCCCTGGCTCTCATATTCGGTGATGTACTCTCCTGCGAGAGGACAGGGCTCAGACACTGGGGCCCCTCCGACGGCCCTGCAGCTCCCCCTGCCATGCCCTGGCCTCCTGCTCACTCATGCCCTCTGTCGCTCCAGAGAGCTGGATGAATCCAAGCTCTAGTCTTTCCACCTGCTCCTTCCTGTCCGCCTTCTCCTTCGGGAGGTCCGTAAAGCTGCTCTGGAGCCAAAATAATGGGGTCACATCTCGGGAGTGACCTGTCCTGCCCCGCCCCCACTTTTCTTGGCTCATGCCGGGACTCACTCATCTTCAGCTTCTCCATGGCCCCCTGCAGGGCCCGGTAGCTCTCCCCATACACAGACTCATCCCCAGTCCCTGGGGCGGGGCCCATGCCTCTGGCTCCTTCCAGGGACCACAGAGGAAGGTGGCAAAGTGGGGCAGGGAAAGTCAGACTCACCATGGCCTCCTGGCACTCCAGGTCCTCTGGGATGTTTGGCATGGGCCGAGGTGCCTCCTTCTCCTCACTGTCTACGTGTCCTCCTTCATCTCCTGTGGGGAGGTGGCCAGAGGGGTCCTCAGACAACCCAACAAGGGAGGTACTGTGGGCCTACCTCTCCCCACCCTCACTGTGGAACCCTGAGACAGCCCCTCCCCAGAGGGGAAGGAGCTGCTGTTCTTTATTTTTCCTTTTAAGAACCAAGATCTTGCTATATTGCCCAGGCACAGTCCTGCTACCAGTCGGTGCGGGAGTTCTGAACTGCTCCCTTTCTGATCTGGGCCAGTTCACTCATCCTTAGGCAACCTGGTGGCCCCCTGCTCCCAGGAGGTCACCATATTCATGCCGAGCTTAGTGCAGACACCCGGTTGGCATAATGACCAGCTCTTCTAAAGGTCTCTTCCAACCCCTCAATCCTGTGCTGCTGACAGTCCCCCCTTCCTCCTGGGGCTCTCTCCTCTTCCCCTGAGTGGTCTCCTGTACCTTCTCCAGGGAGAGCCATGAGGCTCAAGTGGGCCTCTAGCTGTTGGTTCCACTGGCTGGCAGCTTCTAGGTGCTCCTAAGGGGACGGGAAACAGAGTGAGAAGGCACGGAGGTTGCCAGGTTGTCCCCCTCGGGGCCCTGTCCTCAGCAACTCCCTCCCCTGGGTCTCCTGCAGGTTTGGTGGGCCATCTCAGCCACCGCTTTGCCCCGAGCTTCCTGCTGCCGCAGCTGGTCCATGAGCTGGGTCTGCAGCAGTAACTCCCTGTGCAGCGCCTCCTTCTCGGAGGTCAGCTGCTGATAGGTGGCCACGTACTGCTGCGGGTGACCCAGGTAGTAGTCTCGCTGCTGCTGCAGACTCTGAGACTCTTGGCTCTTTAGCTCCAGCTGCAGCAAGGCCCTGGGCATGAGGGCACGTGGTGGCTGGTTTCCAGATTCTGGAACCATTAATAGGGTAGTGAGAGCACTGTGGGGCTCTGTCACCTGCCTGGGCCCCTGGCCCCCTTGCTCCAGGCCTAAGAAACTTCCTCCCTTGCCTAGAACCCCATGCCTCCTTCCCCAGCCTCAAATCTCATGTCCTCCTTCCCACCATTTAAACTGTGGGCCACAGACTGGTGGAAAAGCAGAGGGAGCCAACCACCATCTGCTAAGTGTGCTACAAGCCTAATGCTTTCCATGTATTCTCTCATTTAATCCTCAGCACCTCTGCAAGAAAAATGCTAACTTCCTTTTGAAGTTAAAGAAACAGAGACTCAGAGATGAAAAATAGCTGAATGGTGACCAGTGGAACTGAGGCCAGAATCCAGGTTGAATCTAAGGAGGCTTTTTTGTTTTGTTTTGGGACAGAGTGTCACTCTGTGGCCAAGGCTGGAGTGCAGTGGTGCAATTTCAGCTCACTGCAACCTCCACCTCCCGCGCTCAAGTGATTCTCATGCCTCAGCCTCCTCAGTAGCTGGGATTACAAGCATGCGCCACCATGTGTAGCTAACTTTTTTGGTTGTAATTTTAGTAGAGATGAGGTTTCGCCATGTTGGCCAGGCTGTTCTCAAACTCCTGACCTCAAGCGTTTCTCCTGCCCCAGCCTCCCAAAGTGCTGGGATTACAGGCGTGAGCTACTGCCCCGGGCATAAGGAACCTCTTATACCAGTCTCTTCCCCTATGATTGGGGGGTTCCATGCCTCTAGCTGGGATTAGAATGTCCAGACCTGGGAGGAGCCCAGGGCTACCCACCTCTAAAAGTCAGAGGGCAGGAAGCAAGAAACAGTTATAGGGCTGCTCTGGAGGGGGCTGGGGTCACCTTCCCTCCAGCTAGAGCTGCCTTTGGCCTGGCACTTCCCCTCCCCAGAGGCTGGTGCCCGCCTCCCAGCCCTTCTTGGATGGGGCAGAGGTTACCATCTCCTTCACCTCACTCGGCTTCTCCTGCAGCTCCTTTACTCGCTGCTCCAACTGCAGAGCGCTCTTGTTCTCGTTGTTCTGGACAGAGAGAAGCAATCAGTGGCCATCCACTGCAGCTGGAGAACCCTGACCTTGGTGTCTGTCTCCCAGGTCACCGGGAAGGGTGGAGGCAGGTTAGAAAAATCATCCCCTCCCCCACAGCCATCAGAGCAGGGCCTGATGAGCTCTGGCTCACAGGTGCCTTTAGAAGTACCATCTCATGTGAGGGCTACACTGCCCCATTTTACAGGTGGGGAAACAAAGGCCTGGAGGGCTAGGGATGAGGGCAGCCTCCCCAGGTGGGGCAACCCACCAGATCCTCGAAGCCACACTGTGGCTCTGCCAGCTGCTTGTCGAGCTTGTGGTTCTGGGAAAGCGTGAGCCTCTCCTCCTGCTTTCGCAGTCTCTCTTCCTGCTTTTCCAGCCTCTCCTCCTGCTTTCGTAGCCTCTCCTCCTGCTTTCTCAGTCTCTCTTCCTGCTTTTGCAGCCTCTCACCCTGATCCCTAAGCCTCTCCTTTTCCTCACGCAGACTCTCCTGCTCCTGCAGCCTCCTCTCCTCCTGCTCCCGGAGCCTCTCCTCCTGCTCCTGGAGCCTCTCCTTTTGCTCCTTGCTCAGGATACTCAAGGCCTGGTTGTTTTCCACCTGGAATTGCAGTTTTTCCACCAAACTCTCCACCTCCTTCCTCAGGTGTTTGGCCTCATCTTGTAGCTGCTCCACCTCAGAGGGCCCTGCTGGGGGTGCCGAGGATGAGGGCTCAGCTGAGAAAGGAAGCAGACAATAAGGGCCTCTGGATTCCTCTTCCCACCCCCTCCCCCCTGAAAAAAAAAAAAAGAAACAACCCTCCTCTTGATTCACAGCTCCTCTCAGGCTTCCCAAGCTTGACCTCACTGCTAATGATTCCTCGCACCCGATGGTGCCCATTTCCAAGCCACTTTCAGATAGAGAGCACTGTGGGTGGCTGACAACGGGCACTCCTCCCTCTTTGCTGATGGGGACCCTGAGCTCATGGAGATGACAAGACTTGCTGACTCCTGGCACAGACCACTTTCCCACTGCCTCAAAGCCCTTCCATCCACCCACCTCCCTGGGGCATCCTAAGCCACCCCACAGCCCTCTGATGCCAGTCCTGCTCCCAGGTCACACCAGCCCCACCTTACCTATCTGGTGTTTGAGTTCGGACACGGTCCTCTCCAGCTCCTGTATCCGATGTATGTCACGCATCTTCTCCTCCTTCAATGTGCGAGCCTGCCCAAAGCACAGGGGGAAGGGCCCTGGAGAGGGGGCTGGTGGCTGGACAGGCTACCATCTTCCTCTCTGCCCCCACCTCCACAAAGCCCAGACCCATGACCACCTCTGGCTGTACTAGTCCCATTTTACAGATGCCCAGAAAGACCCAGTGACACATCTAAGGTGGGGGCTGAAGGGTCAGGTCTCACCTCCACCGACATTTTCCGCATCCTCTCCTGCCACCGGGCCCTCTCTCCTTTTATATGTTGAGCACACTCGTCTCTTTGCAGCTGGACTTGTTTCAATGACTCTGTTACCTGCAAGAATGGGCACAGAAATGAGGAAGGGCTGTCACCGGTCCTCACCTGCTCCTGGTCACCTGGGGTCATCTTCCTTCCACATCCCTCCCTCTGCAAAGCCTCACCTGTGTCACGTGTGCGTTCAGCAGCGCCCGCTCCTTTATGGTCTGCCGTAACTGCCGCTGGAGGACTGCTTCACTGCGGCTCGAGGACTGGATGGTGAAGAGTGAGAAGTTTTGATGTGGGGAGCCCGGGCAGTGCCCCTCAAAAGGGTTATCGCTGGGCTCAATATACAACTCAGTCAGTAAAGATCAAGGCATTTCCAAGCCCGTGGTCTGGTTTTTAGAAGAACTCAGTAAAGTTGGAAGGGACAGGGAAAGAGATCGAATTTACTGCTGGCTAACGGAGGCCCAGAGAGATCAGATCATATTACAATTGTTATTACTGTTATTACTACCACTGTTTGAACCTTAATGGAGTGCTTCATCAGGTACCATGCTAACAATCCCATTTAATCCTCACAACCACCATATGAGACATTTACTAGGGTAACCTCTACTGCGTCCTTGAAAAACATGGAGTATTCGAGGTTAAGTGCTTGCCTAAGATCACTTAGACAGAGCTGGGATTTGAACACCCAGGTCTATCCGATTCTCTAAGCCCATTTTTTTCTTGCTAGGTGTGGGAGCACAGATAGAAAGGGGAAAATTAATCTTTTGTTCACTTTTTGAAAGGATGATACATTCGCATCGTCCAAAACTCAGAAGGTACAGAAGGGAAGTGTCTCCCAGACACCCTGTTACTCTCTCCTGAGTTTTTTATGAACACTTGCAGACATGTTTTATGTATAATAGTACGTACACACACACACACACACACACATACACACACACACACACACATCTTTCCTCTCTCTACAGAAATGGTGACATAGTAAAGGTCCTCTTCTGTACCTTCAAAGTACAGGTACCCGATACCCCACCTAGGACTTGGCCAAGTCCACAGCCAGGTAAGGGCAGGGCAGGCACTTGGCCTCTGAGCTCTGTGTCCAGTGTTTGCTCCCCACAGTGCCCCCAACTCACCCACAGCAGCTGACTCAGCCCCAGGCTGCCTCTAACAACCATACACAAAGCAGCGAGAAATGAGCATGCTGCCTTCTGGGCAGGACACTGCATCCTGCAGAAGGGACCTTTAGGCTCACTCCTCCATCTGGGAAGCCAGGCTGCTGGGGGACAGGGCAGCTGGTTGGACTCACCCTGTCCTCTTCGCGCTGCTGTGCACACACAGCAGAGAGAGCCCGCTCCAATTCTTGAATACGCTGTAAGGAGGATTGCAGGCGGCCGGCCAGATCCTTGGACTCTTCTGTAACGAAAGAGGTTGAGATGGGGCCCAAAGGACTCCCCCTAAGGACCTGTCAAAGTGCCAGGTTGAAGGATGATGGGGTGCCCACGTTCCCACCTTCGAAGTGTCTGGCGGCACGTTTAGTATGGTAAAGGGTGGTCTTCAAGTCTGCCTTTTCCAATGTGAGGATGTTGATTGTCTGGAATTGAACGTTTGGGAGAAAAGCCAAGCAAGTGCTGAAAGAGACGGAAAGAAACATTCTCCGGAGGACAGGAGAAAACTCCCCACCCTCCACTCACCTCTAACTGCTCCATTTGTGCTTTGTGTATTTCATTGTTTGCTTTCTTTTCCTGTAGGAAGAGGAAGACAGAGCTCTTACCCGGGGGGAGGCAGAAATGGCACAACAAGAGACATGCCCCCGACATGCCACCAATGCCCCAGGACAGGCACACCCATGGGACCAGGTTTTCAGGGACCCTGTGGGTATGGGGTGGAATCTGAGGGGTGAGCCTTCTTCCCCAGGCTGGGAGTGGGTGAGACGAGACTGGCGCCTCTACATCTGAGTGCCCCCCAAACCCAGCAGTCATGTTGTGTGCAAACAAAGAAATCGCGTTACTTCTTCCAGCTGATGTTCCACTTGTTTCTTCTGTTGTTTCTGTGGGGAGAGTCAAATTCAGGTGACTGAGGGGGGGCCCCCTCAACTCTATTCCCCAGACCAGGAAGCAGTACACAAGGGCCAGGAATGGATTTTAAAGGCAAAGTTCTCAGACCCAGTGGCAACATGAACTGGTCAACTCTCCTCAAGCTCCCAAAGACAGAGGATTTGGGTCTTTGTTGGTTTTTGCCCACAGCCACAGAACTCAAAGTCTGAATCTGGATTCTCTCAAAAGGACAGTAACATAAACCTCTAGAGTCGGAGTCTGAGAAAGGCCCACCGTTCTGCCAGCTTGTGATTTAGAAAGATGCGTTCATTCAACCAACATTTACTGAGCACATACGGACCAGGTACGGGTCTTCACAGCACAGATACAGGACAGAAAAGGACAGACGAGAGCCCTTGGCCCTGAGGTTTCCATTCTAGGGGCTTTTTTTTTTTTTTTTTTTGAGACGGAGTCTCGCTCTGTCGCCCAGGCTGGAGTGCAGTGGCGCTATCTCTGCTCACTGCAAGGTCTGCCTCCTGGGTTTACGCCATTCTCCTGCTTCAGCCTCCCCAGTAGCTGGGACTACAGACGCCCGCCACCTCGCCCGGCTAGTTTTTTGTATTTTTCAGTAGAGACGGGGTTTCACCGTGTTAGCCAGGATGGTCTCGATCTCCTGACCTCGTGATCCACCCGTCTCGGCCTCCCAAAGTGCTGGGATTACAGGCTTGAGCCACCGCACCTGGCCCATTCTAGGGGCCTTTAACTCTCGAACTCTCAGAGCTAACAGAGACCTTTGATACTCTACCTCCTCTGGAAACACAAGCCCAAGGAGGAGAGCTGGCTAGTCCAGACTCAAAAAGCAAATTAGGGACTGAGTCAGGGCAGAAATACGGAGCCCCTAACAACCCTCACTTCCCTGAGAGGCGAGAACTCCAGGGTGTGTGTGGTAAGGACTGGAGCAGGGGTGTCTGAAGAAGAGAGTCAGCAAACAGGACAGTGACGGAAGAGCCATGCTGCATGCTCCTTGCTCTGGGGCCCCCCAGGTGAAGCCCAGGCACTCCAGCTCCCCATTAACCCTTGGCACCAGGGGCCCTAGCCCCTTTCTTCAGGGCCCCAAGGGGAAACTGGAGTCCAGGATTGGCAACATGGAATCAGGAGACCCCACTGGACTCTTACCAATGATTCTATGTTTTCATTGAGTTGATTGATTGTTGCGGAGCTTGAGTCCAGGGCTACTTCCAGTTCTTGGTACCGGCTCTGAGGCGCACGCAGAGAGGAGGAGTTGGAGGAGGGTTGCGGGGAGAGGTAGAGAGAACAATCATTAGGGCTGGGGTGTGTGTGGGCTGTCTCAGCTGGTAGAGGGGCACCCAGCTCCCGCTGTGAGAAGAGGTTGGAGGGCTGGCATGAAATGTCACTGCACTTCGGCCCAGGGCCTCTTACCTCTAGATCCTTCAGGGTAGCAGATGATGCAGGGTTAATAAAAATGAGAAACGAAAAAAAAAAATGCTTTTATGGGAAACAGTTATGGATATAAAGTATAAAAACACTAAGGGACTGGGCACAGTGGCTCACGCATGTAATCCCAGAAATTTGGGAGGCTGAGGCGGGTGGATCACTTGAGGTCAGGAGTTTGAGACCAGCCTGGCCAACATGGTGAAACCCTGTCTCTACTAAAAATACAAAGATTAGCCGGGCACCCTGGCAGGTGCCTGTAATCCCAGCTACTCAGGAGGCTAAGGCAAGAGAATCGCTTGAACCCAGGAGGCAGAGGTTGTAGTGAGCCGAGATCGCACCACTGCACTCCAGTCTGGGTGACAGAGAGACTCTGTCTCAAAAAAAAAAAAAAAAAAGCCCCAAATCCCACATGCCTGCTCTGTACATTATTCCCAAATTACTTTTAAACTTTAAGATATGTCTCACCATTTCCAAGATGATAAAAGATGTGGGGAAGGGAAAAATTCAATCAATCAAGCAGGTGAAGAAGCAGACATAAACAGGCTGAAGGTGAATGGCAGCAGCATAAAAATAAACCTGAAGCAAAGTATCCCCCAAACCAGAGAAGCCTCAGGGGCATGCACAGCTGCAGACAGCAAGCCAGAGAGGGGTCCTGGCACTGCCTCGCCTTCCACTTTTTCAATGGGGTAGCACTACCCCATTGGAATGGTTAAGGTTGGACACCAGCACCTTCAGAATGTCCTGAATCTACAGGAGGTGACAAGGGAAAAACAAGGGCAGGGGGAGAAAGACAGAAGTGGTTTAGAAAGAAGCAAGAAAGTCAGGGTAGGAGGAACACGTGGGTTCAGGAAAAAGAAATGCTGAGGAAGAGCAGAGGAGATTAAAACCATGGCCTGTGCCATTCTTCCAAATGGCCACCTGCGGCCTTGCCAGGGGCAGGAACAAATAGATGGAAATGTTCCCTGAGCGATGCAGTCACAGGGTAGAGTCACCTGACCAATGCAGCTCTTAATATGCTCACTGGACCCCTCTCCTCAGGCCCAGGATGTGGGCGATGAATCTGGTAATGCTCCAGACCTCCACCTCCATTAATAAAACCAGACTTCTGAGTAAGGGTTCACTTGAACTAAGGGGGCTCCAGCTAAAAAACAAGTTTCAAAGACACTGATCTTGTCCAGTATCATCTTACAGAGGAGGAAACTGAGGCCCAGGAGAAGAAGTGATTTTTCTGTGGTCACCCAGCAAGCTGGTGGCAAGTTAGATCTTCTCTTACTCCTAGTGCCTGGGGCTTTCCTCACCACACGCTGGAGCCCCCTTCGGTGACTCCTAAAGGGACAGCCTGATGGCAAGTGACTGTACTCATTGGCCCAGGTTCCCCTTGAGACTGGGGATGAGGAAAATCAAACAGCAATGACCATTTCCTGGGTGTCCTGGGTGTTTACAGCAGGCCATGTACTAGGGATTCACATAAAAACAACAACAATATGAAATCTCATTTAAACTTCACAAATGGAAGTCAAACCACACTACCCCTATTTTACAGATGTGAAAAGACAGGCCCAAGGAGCTCAAGCAGCTGACACAAATCAGATCCCTAGCAGATGGAGAGGCAGGATTCAAACCGAGAATTCTTAACAAGTACCCAGCAATCTCAACAATTACCCTCTACTGCCCCTCGGGCCCCCTGTCCCCAGGAGACTGGCCAGCCAAGACTCACATCCCCAGGTGAGTGGCAACCACCAGAAGTGGTTGTCTCAGGGCTACTGCCAGTAGTTTTCTTTTTTGTCTTCACTCCTGCCGGAACACCAGGGCTGTTCCTCTGCTGATATTCTTTTAGCTGTGGGAAAGAAGAGCAGTCATACTCATGAGAACTACCAGCCGCTACAGCCACATCCTCCTTTACAGTTTTTGCAAAGTACTCTTATACACCATCTGATTTAATGCCACCAAGAACTGTACATGGTGTTGCCACAATCACTTAGTGACTGAGAGGGATTGATATTATGGCTAAAAATGAAAGGCAGGGGGCCAATAATGGAACTTAAACTCAGTCTTCTGACTCCAAGCTCTGGGATTTTACCATGAATCAGCAGCTGCCAGGGACCAAAACCAGAGGCAGTGGCAGAAAAGTCAGCATTAAGTAGGCAGGAACTGTACGCTGTGTGGTTTGGAGTCATACATCCTCACACGTCTGTAAGTGTGAAGAAGTGCACCAGGACCTCTCAAACTTTTATATCAATGTGTCCTAATGGCAGAAGGCAGCTTTTTTGTTAAATCTGGGAATTTATCAGAAAGAGGACAACCAAGCCTCATTTCAGAGAGAAGTCTGGTATACTCTTAGAAACCTATGTGACTGTCATCCCTGAGTACATTAATGTTTTTCCTCTCTCAAGAGAATCAAGGGAAACTGATGCTTTAGAAAGATCTCCCACATTTATCCTGTGGCACTCAAAGTGCCCAGGTTGAGATGATATGAGGAAGATTCAAGGTGTCAAGTTCAGTTTCCAAAGATCTATTCCACAGAAGATGAGCAAATCTCACTTCAGAGACCAGTGATTGAAGCTCTATCTGGTCCCAGAACCGTGGAGAATTAGAATGTGAGTTGGAGAACTCAGAAAAAAATGTTAAATTCTCTTTGGAGAGTAGAAGGCTGGGAGAAAACCAAACCAAACTGGTTCTCCCATTGCCACCCAGAGATACTGTCAACATTTTGAGCTCACGGGGGAAGTATAGGCTTTTCACACTGCCAATGTCTATGTGAAGGGAGTAAGGCAGCCTGAAACCTCTTGCCCCTAGGTCCCATAGTCCCCATTTCCCTTCCAGCTGGAAATTTGTGCTGTGACCCAAGGAACCAGAAATGGGGTGAGAATGCTTAGGGGGACTGGGTCGTAAGACCAATGGCTGGTCTTGCAGCAGTAATGACAGTTCATAGGGGGACTGTGACATCACTACATTCCACTCCTCCTGGGGGTGGGGGAAACCACATCAGTGCGATGGCTGAGTCACCGATCCATGATGGTGGAGGAGGACATAGAGCTGGGATCCAGGTCCTTGGAGACACCAGTCCAAAGAGCCCAGGGAGGTCGGGCTTGGGTCAGCAGGACGGGAGAGTGGAATCTGCAGCAGGGAACCCCAGGAATCACCAGTTCAAAGTCACCCAGGGATGAATGGCAATGGGGGGCCTGGGGCTGGGAGACCCAGATCCTTGGAGAGGTGAGCCCAAAGAACCCAGGGAGGTTGGGCTTGGGGTGGCAGGATGTGAGGGCTGAGTATGGAGTGGGGAGCCCCAGGAGTCACCCACCCAAAGTCACCCTGGAGTGATTGGTGAGGGCAGGGGCTGGGCTGCTTGCTGAAGGAGTGGGACTGACTGTCAGGACTTTGGTGGGGTGAGCCCAGAGGTGCCAGGGTTGGGGGCCCCAGCCCCGTGTGCCTCAGGAGTGGTATGGACTCTGGCAGTGGTCCTGCCATTGGAGGGGATCTCTGGCTGGATTGGGGGGCCACGACCTGGTGCTTTTTACCTTTTTCTTGGCTGCTGCCAATTTGCTCTCTCGAGTTTCTTCTAACATCGCGGGGTGGGGAGGGAGGCAGGGTTGGGGCCACATCAGGGAACACGTCCAGTCACCTAACAGTCAGCTGTGTGACTGAGCCAGAGGAGGCGTAACCAGGGCACCAATAGAACACAGAAAAGGGGTGTGGCCTTAATGCTCCAAGCCCATTGGTCAGTGAGAAAGATGAAAGGGAAAGGAGGCGTGGCCAGGCAGCAGTGTGTCCAGAGGAACCTGTGGCATCACAAAGGAAGCTGCCCATGCAACTGCTGTCCCCGCCCACTTGGGGTGAGGGGCGGGGCCTGCTTACTCGGGGAGAGGGGAGGGGCCGGCTTTTGCTTTAAAACTTTAAAAATAAACTTTAAAATATATATGTGTTTATACTTTATATATATGTGTGTCAGTGTGTGTGTGTCTACATGTTCCTCCAGAGCTATCTTCATAATCCAGCTTCTATGCATGGTCTATGATTTTGGCCTACATTTTTCATCTTCAGATGGAGTATAAGAATTACCAGTATTACCTCAATTGAAACACAAATCCTATAAAAATGGAAAACCTATAGCATGTTTGATGATTAATGAAGCAGACTATATTATCCAACATTCCAATAAGGTAAAATAATCACAAGGATTTCTCTTGGAAAAACATTTCTCTTATTCTCCTACATTATTAAGACTTTTTAAAAACAAGAAACATGTCTAATATCTTTAAAAACACAAAGCTTTTGGGCTGGGTGCGGTGGCTCCCCTTAGGTCAGGAGTTCCAGATCAGCCTGGCCAACATGATGAAACCCCGTCTCTGCTAAAAATACAAAAACTATCCAGGTGTGGTGGTGGGTACCTGTAATCCCAGTTATTTAGGAGGCTGAGGCAGGAGAATAACTTGAACCCAGGAGGCAGAAGTTGCAGTGAGCCAAGATCACATCACTGCACTCCAGCTTGGGCGACAGAGTGAGATTCCATCTCAAAAAATAAAATAAAATAAAATAAAATAAAATAAAATAAAATAAAAAATAAATAAATAAATAAATAAATAAAATAAATAAAATAAAATAAAATAAAATAATAAAATAAAATAAAATAAAATAAAATAAAATAAAGAAAAACACAGAACTTTCCATTTAATAAGCACTCAAACCTCTTTACTGGTTTAAAGCAATTACAAGGCCTATTTTTCTAGAATCATCTGGCCTCTCTAAGCCTTGCAAATGAAACTGAATTTCTCACTTGATACTTGGCTATCACTTGCAATCATGAACATCAAGAATTGTGTTATGTCACTGAGTATTGCTTGTTACCTGAATTAGACACTAGACTGGGATCAAGACTCGAATCTTTCATGATTTACTCCATAACCTGTGAGATTCTTATCCCACACCAAACTAAGCTTTTTTCTAGAGTTCTACAATTTACGATTAGTAGACAAGAGGGTTCTCAGCAATGTAGTCTCTGGACTAGCAGCACCAGCAGAACCTGAGAACTTTTTATAAATGCAGATTCTCAGGCCCCACCCTGGACTTGGTGAATCAGAAACTCTGGAGTAAGGTTCAGCAATCTGTGCTGCAGTAACCCCTCCAGGTGTTCAAGAACCTCTGGCATACAACAGGTAGAAAAATGTGTTTCCTTCTGTAGGCCCAAAGCCAAGGACACCATATGTTCTTGATATAAAACAATGACATGCAATTAAAAGACATAAATCTCCTTCCTCCTCTCACCCTTCATCCAATGTGTTCTATTTCTATGAGTTAAATAAGAAAACAAGATCAGAGATTCAGTCTAAAAAGTATATTTACAAGTGTCAGTTCTCATCCAGCCTGATCTCATACAACACCATTTACACCCTCTTACCTCTCAAGTTTTAAAAACATATCTTCACAATGTAAGTCGCAGGCACGCTAGCAGTTCTATAATAAAACACCAAATAGATGGGAATGTCCAAACTTACTAAAGTGGAATCATTGGCTATATTTTCAAATTGCATTCAACAGGAAATGTAATTCTTTTCATTTTCATACTTCCAAGTTAATACAATTAAACCAGAAGACTCCATTCTTTCAAAGCCTCTAGCCAGGCAAAGTTTTACTGTATTATTTCTTGCTTTCAATGGATATAAAGCAGAGTCCTGGTAGGCACATTTTGTATACTTGCAAAGATGCAGAACTAAACAGTTCCATCTGTTCAATATTAAAACAAAAGTCCTGTAAACCCCGGATGGTGAATGTAATACTTCAGCACTAGCAACAAAGCCTCAAATATGAAAAGATGCCAACAAACAAAGTAAGCTCTTGGCCGGGAGCAGAACTTCACGCCTACAATCCCAGCACTTTGGCAAGTCAAGGTGGGATGATTACTTGAAGTCAGGTGTTCAAGACCAGCCTGGGCAGCATAGCGAATTCACATCTCTCTAAAAATTTTAAAAAATTAGCTGGGCATGGTGGCACACACCTGTAGTCCTACCTACTTGGGAGGCTGAGGTAGGAAAATTGCTTCAGCTCAGGAGTATGAGGCTGAAGTAGCTATGATCATGCCACTGCACTCCAGCCTGGGTGACAGGGCAAGACCTAGATAATTACAGTCTGTCCTGCACCTATGAACATTAAAATCACTAAGTTAAAATGCTTTCAATCAGCAGGATAAAAATTAAGTGAAATATGACTTTGGAGGTTGGCCAGAAAATAGGCAACGGAGAAACAGGCACTTCCCACGAGAGTAAAAATCACCAATAAACATATAAAAAGGATTCAAGGCAGGCCCGGTGGCTCACACCTGTAATCCCAGCACTTTAGGAGGCCAAGGCAGGTGGATCACCTGAGGTCAAGAGTTTGAGACCGGCCTGACCAACATGGTGAAACCCCGTCTCTACTAAAAAATACAAAAATTAGCCAGGCATGGAGGTGGGCACCTGTAATTTCACCTACTCAGGAGGCTGAGGCAGGAGAATTGCTTGAACCCAGGAGGCGGAGATTGCAGTGAGCCGAGGTTGCACTGTTGCACACCAGCCTGGGTGATGGAGCAAAAAAATAAGATTCAAAAGCACTAGAAACCAAAGAAATGTAATGAAAACAATGAGATTTTCTGCTTAAATACCAGCAAAGAGGGCAAATGAAAGGGGGAAACCGGAGCTCTGCCCCTGTTGGTGGTAGAATAAACTGAACCAATTTTTCTGCAGAATAATTTGAAAATTTCTACTAAATATCCTCAAATTGTTTTATGCTATTGTCCTCCAGAAATTCTGCTTCTATAAATTCAGTCCAAAAATGCTTGCTTGAGTCCATTAAAAAATATATATAAGAACATTTACTTCAGGGGTGGAAATGATTAGCTTAGTACACATCAAGCTTTTAAAAATGATGATGCCAAGGATATATTTACTGCCATAGAAATATGCCCAAAACACAGTGACAAAAGACTATATATTATGATTCTACTTTTTAAAATATTTATATGCATACAAAAGTATAAAAGGCAGCAAACCAGAATGTTTTGAGTGGCAAAATTAAAGACTTCTTCATATTTTGTCTTCCGAATTATTACAAGAAGAATGTGATTTTCTGTATAACAAGGGAGAAGCATTATTTTCATTTATTTATATTTAAGTTTCTTTTCTTTTCCTTATTTTTTCTCATGGATGTATCACCTGTAATCTAGAGAGCTTGAGTCGCTGCCTCTTGAGGTAAATCAGCCCACTTCTGTCTCTATCAGTTTGCCTTTTTTGGACATTTCAAGTCAATGGAATTATACAATATGTGGTCTCGTGTCTGGCTTTTTTACTTAGCTAATATTTTTGAGGAAGGTCCATGACATATAACAGGTCCCACAGCACCCTCTGGGCCCAGATTCTGCTATCTCAGAAGTCTGGGAGGCAGGGACCCGCCTGGCCATAGCCTTCTTGCTCTGCTCTAGGCACTCCTAGCCCCAAAGCCCCCAGCCCGCTGGACACCTCCATCCCCGGCTATGCCATGGCTCTCTTCATTCTAGGCCTCCTGCTCGTCACATTCACCCTTGTCCTGGTGAGTATCTGGCTGGGTGCGGGCTCCTTTCTGAGGGGCAGGCTGAGCCTTTGACACCTTGAGCCTTTGAGCCAAGTTGAGGGGTGAACAGGCCCCTTTACACCCCCAATTCCCCAACCCAAGCCCAGCACCTCCTCACCCTCCAGCTGGGGTTGCAGGTTTGGGGCCAGGGGGCTGGGCCTGATCCCAGTGTCCCTGCCCTTCTTGTCAAGGTGCTAAAGTGGAGGGCCTCCCTCGGGGTGTTCAGCCTGGGAGCGTAGACATGCACAGTGTGGTACAGAGGTTCCTCCAGACAGGTAAGTGGAGGGCTGTTCTCCCTGACTCCACCCCAGGTGTTCGTTCTGGGTGGGGTCCACCCCCACCGCCCACCAAGGCCTTCTGCAAACACTCCCTGGGGGCTGTTACTGGCAGCGCCTGGGTGGTGCAGTCAGTGTGCCAGAAAAGCTCCCCACTACTGTGGGCAGTGGCCCAGGCAGTCAAGCAGACTCCCCCAAGCAGGCCGGACCTACCCCTAGCCTGTTCCCAGCTGCCTCCCACCAACCCTAGAAATGATGCTGGGGGCCGATAGAGACTGAACTTAGGTGCACAGGGGGACAGGAGACCTGGGACAGAGAACAGGAGGTGTGGGGAGGGAATCTTCCTTCCCCCACTTCCCACTGCCTGAGGGCCAGACAGTGGCACCTCCAGGTCCTGGAAGGACATGTGTGGACCCAACTCAGTTTCCCCTTTGTCTCGTAGCCTTTCTTCTCCCTTCCCTGGGGCCAGGTGGATGTGGGAGGAGATGCAGCAGCATCCTGGGTGCACTCAGACTCATTCCTCACTCCTGGCCTTCACTCCCTTTCCTCTACACACAGGTGACCCCTCACGCTGCTGATCCCTCTGCTGAAACCCAAACTCCAAGTCTCTCCTCTCCCCACCTTCACCTTACCCCACGGCTTCTACAGACAGTGCTTCAACGCTGAGGAGCGAATCCAGAGTTCCAACACCACTGACTTTCCCAGGAACTCAGAGCCAGAGAGGGCCAGGGTCCATCCTGAGGCCACACAGCCAGGGGCTTCTTTCCTCCTACACCCCCAAGGACCGGACTTGCAGGTCTGGGACAGAGGTGGGGTGGGGGAAAGCAATGCCTTGTCAACCCACGCAGAGAGCCCCGCTCCCATCCCCAAGGTGCATAAAGTCTAGGAACACCCCTGCTCCCACGTCCATGCTCACTCAGGGCCCTGCTCCAAGTGCTTGGCACTCACACCAGCCTCCCGCCCTCCATGCCACAGGCATGGGTCTCCTTTACAGAGAAGGAAATGGTGGCCAAGAGCCCCCCTCAGCACACACAGCTAGACCAGAGGACTTAGGCGTAGCTGGGGCTGCCCCTCCTGCCACCGAAGCATGGTCCTGCTGCCAGGTCACAGGAAGGTGATGGAAGCCCTCCTCAAAGAGGGCTGGGACAGGGACACCCTTACGCCTGCCTCATCCAGCCTAGTAGGGCTGGAGAGACTGTCAGTCCTAAGAGAAACACTGGCCCTTTGGGGGTATGGAAAAGTCAGGAAGCAATCCAAAGTTGGTATTTAAAATATTGATTTCTAGATATTTAGACCGTCATCTGGTGTGAGGACCTGGAAGGATCCCAGGGTAGAGCCCAAAAGAGGAGGAAGACTGAAAAGGGGTCAGAGTGGGAATGGGGGCTGCTGAGAGCAAGGCCCACCCCCCTCCCTGACTCCCTGAACCCAGCC